TTGTTCTGCAGTGTCATTACAATATATATCTAAGTGAATTTCCAAAAAAATGAATACTGCTTGTAAGTCACTGGACCTTCTATGTCCAAAATATCTAGAAAATTATTTCTTTGGATATTTCTTTTTGGTTCTCAGATTTTTGAGTTTCTATTCCAGAAAAACCTTATTCCCTGTCATATGTTTGTTATGTCTGTCATCTATGCTGCATTTCATTTGGGGTAATTCCTTGATATCTGTCTTCTAGTTCATTAAAGATCTCTTCTACTGTGTCTTAATTTGCTGTTAACTGTCCATTAAATTTCTTAATTTGTTTTTTTAATAAAACTTTATTGTTCAGATTATTATTATACTTGTTCCTCTTCCTCCCCACCCCCCCATAACTCCCCTCCACCTGGTTCCCACTTCTCCCTCTGCTCTTACCCACCCCCCACTGTCCTCATCGATAGGTGTACAATATCCAGTCTCTTCCCACACCCCCCACATCCCTTTCCCTCCGAGGATTATCAATGCACTTCCTTTCTGTGCCCCTGATTCTATTATATTCACCAGTTTATTCTGTTCATCAGACTTTTTATTCACTTGATTTTTAGATTCACTTGTTGATATGTATTTGTTGTTCATAATTTTTATCTTTACCTTTTTCTTCTTCCTCTTCTTAAAGAATACCTTTCAGGATTTTATATAATACTGGTTTGGTAGTGGTGAACTCCTTCAGCTTTTCTTATCTGTGAAGCTCTTCATCTGACCTTCAATTATGAATGATAGCTTTGCTGGGTAGAGTAATCTTGGTTATAGGTTTTTGCTATTCATCATTGAAATTAAAAATATATATAAATATATATATCAAATATATATGTATATAAAGTTTATATATATATATTTATATATTTTTGGAAATTCACTTAGATATATATTGTAATGACACTGCAGAACAACAATATATATTATATAAAATATATATATGTATATAAAGTTTTAGTGTGCACTTGTATTCTTTAAACTTATTTTATATTTTGTGCTTTGAATCTAACCTGCAACATTCTTGCCCAAATTATTAACCATCACTGTACAATAGCTTTTGAATTATTCTCATTTTAACTATTCTTGATTCTTAATTCTTAATATTTTCCATATTACAGAGTTAATCTTTTCAAGTTTAAATTTTACCATTTTTTCTCCCATTTAAATCTTTATTCTTAGATTAAAGACTAAATCCTCAACATAGTTCTCATTACCTGTTATCGGCTTGCAGCATCAGCTTCATTTTATGCCAGTCTAGGGCCCCAATGACCTCTTAGTCCTTTAAAACAGGGGCTTTAAGCTATTTTGACTGCTACAGAGTAAGAAAAATGTTTTGCATCATGACCCAACACTATAAAAATAAATACATTTAACTGTTACAAAGTTTGTAAAACAATACTCACCCTTACTTTGTGTGGTGATATCTATTTTTTATTCTATGTAATTGTAATACCATTAATTGGTATCAATCCACATTTGAAAATTGCTTTAAAGAGCCACAATCCATCCTCTGATATTTACAATGCTGTTTCCACTACCTGAGGATTAATTTTTTTCCCCTTTAATCCCACTTCCCATGTATAAACTAGCACTTCATGTTATTTATACTCCAGAACTCAACTCAGTTACCAAAAAAATCTTGACATTTTCTTTCTGAAGGAAAAGTTTTCCTTCCAGACTGGGCTACATTCCTCTATTACAGTGTCAGTCTCTTTTATATTATTCACCCCACTTGTAATTGCATTGTTAATTTTATAATTAGTTGACTAATGTCTGTCCCAGACTGTCATCTTCATTTGTTTATGAATGACATCTGGTTTGTTTATTATTGAATTCCTAATGCCTGGATCATATTAGATTAAATCATTGAATAAATGAATCTTGTTCAAAATGGTATAATGGAAAAAACATGGACTTGAAGGGGAAAGGTTAATAAGTAAATGTACTTGTCCAAAAACCTTAATTTTCATCCTGGTATGATCAGATGATCTTGGACAAAATTATGTGTTTCTTATTCTCTGATTCCAAATCTGTCTAATGGCAATATTAACTGTTTTGTGTGTCTGGCTTCTTGAGATTAGGACTGCCACAGTCCTTCTCTTCATGAGTTCACAGTTGATGTCTGAGATGCAGACACGCAAACATAATACAAGTACTACTGTAAATGAAAACAGATTTATAAGTATGAAGTACTGTTATAATGGTTAGGTCATTTGAATATTTGTTAAAAACGTGTTACGGCAATTTATGAAAAGTTTCAAACCTTATCTTTCTCTTGGTCTTGGCTCTTTCTTGGTAATGCAAGTAAAAATAGAGAGAGGCAGATATATATATACCAATGATTTCAGATGTTTTTCTTCCTTTTTACTTCCAGTGGCCAGGAAGACAGCTGGAAGGTATACAAAATTATTGACTCAATTCACAATATTTTGAACTTGTGTTGTTTGCCAGCCTACCGTGGATCCCCACATAATTAATTTTTAATGAAATATGGCCACTCTTGTTTTCCAGCTGGTGGACGTATAGACACAGTACAGTCAATACCCTCAAGCGTCTTGCAGAGGTCAGTTGGGAAGCAAACCCTTTGGTTCTAGGGCTACTGTTAACGCAGGAGCAATTGAAATCCTAAATCAGATTTACCTCAGCCGTAAATGTCAGTAAAATACTTAGCAGTCAAGGCCATCAGTAAGGAAAGTAATCAAGGTCAGGGCCAAACTGCTAAAGTGAAATGTTTAAAACTTCCAATGAGTCATTAATTAGAAAATAGGCTGCTGTTAAACTGTTTTGTGTGTTTTCCATGCATAATTTACTCCGCTGCATTTTTAATTTTCTCAGAGATCAAACAATCCCCTGGAAAAGTGTTAAAGTCCTGGAGAGGTAGCACAAACACTGCTAGATTTTGTTAACTTTTCATCTCATGGATTTAGTAAACTGTTTGGACTGTTAGAATCTGTAAGAAATAACATTAAGGCCATTTCCTATTTTGGTTCTAAAATTGTGACTCTCGTTCTGACTTCCATTTAGTCTGATGCGATTGGAAGAACAGTGCCAGATTGATTAATTTTGTTTTTAAGTGTTGTGAAGACAATTGAGCCATGAGAAGAAGTTGACATTTTGAACTGGCAAACAGCTTGGGCACTTAGGCACAATTCCAGGTAAATAAGCTAAGTATACTTAGCTGTGTATATGTAAGTCCAATTGCTTAAAGGTATACATCCAAGATCCCATGTGATCAGTGCTAGGCAGCAGCTGATGTGCAGAATGGCAGGGGAAGAAAGACTGGATCACAGAAAGACATTCTTACTCAGGACTTGAAATCTGGCAGCTTTTCTAGGGGAATAAAATACCGTTGGATTGCATTTATTTGTGGACATTTTTTTTCTTGCCTTCTGCATTGCCCTTTAAGAGCAGAAACCATGATTGGTTCATCTTTGTACTCCCCAAACAGTAGGCATGTTTGTCGATACTAAGAGATAGCCACTCTCGTTACCCATTTGTTTTTTGTTTTGTTTTGTTTTTTAAACTTTTTAAAAATATATTTTTATTGATTTTGTACAGAGAGGAAGGGAGAGAGATAGAGAGTTAGAAACATTGATGAGAGAGAGTCATTGATCAGCTGCCTCTTGCACACCCCCTACTGGGGATATGCCCGCAACCGAGGTACATGCCCTTGACCGGAATCGAACCCGGGACCCTTCAGTCCCCAAGCCGACGCTCTATCCATTGAGCCAAACCGGTCTCGGCTCATTACCCATTTGTTCGTTTGGGTCCACAGGTGATGTTTGGGAAATAGTAAAAGCAGCAGTTTAGCAAAGAGGGCATTGCCATGATTCTCTCTGGCTTCCTCTACTAGGGAGTTTGCAGCTTCTCACTTCGTTTTAAAGACAAATGGTCTGCGTAGAGGAAGCACATGATTAGCTGTCTTTGTTCAGTTGGCTAATCAGGTCAGAACTGTTGGTCCATCTGTGAATACACCAGTTAATGTTTCACCACTCCTAGCCACAGATTTGCACCTTGAACCTTTGCCAGCCATTTCCTAAGTGCATGCTTTTGGATGTGAGGGAGACCAACAAAAGAGTGCACATAGATCAGCTTAAAATCATCACCGCTCTTCAAAACAAAACAGCTTAAAGCATGAATGCCATAGTGGCAGGCCAGGAGCTTTAAGTTTGTGTATCAAAGGTAAGCACAGTGGTGCCGTAGGTATTACTGTTACTATAAACACTATACTGATAGGGACTAAACTTAAGAAGCTGTGATAAATGAGTATTGGAACTTTTGTTATTTTACTTAAAAAAAAAAATTTCTTAGGGTGTTAGAATAACCAGCCCTAGAAAATATTGGGTGGAGATGAGTAGTCAAATTGATTCTGAAATGGTCCAGAGCTTTTATATAATCAGCATGATTTGTGTTTTCATAGAGGACACAATTACAGAACATTATTGGTTCTCTAACTTGGGGACTTTGTTCTTTGAAGACTTGTGGTAGTTAAATGAGGTTTCACTAACAATCAGTAATAATGCCTCTTTTTTGCTTAGCATTTCCACTTTTCCTTAACATTCACCTGCAGTTATTTACATCATTTCAAGTGAGTCTCAGAACAATCTTATAAGTTGGACATTACTGTTCAGGTTTACCACTGGATCATCCAGCAACCTTTTCTTATCTGAACATCAATGTGACTTAAGGAATTCTAGGAACAACAGTTGACTAAAAAAGTATATAATATCCCATACTGACAAAATTATTTCTTTTAGAAGCTGCTTCATTCTCTTAGAAGACATAATGAACATTTAGGTGAAACAGCATTAATCAAGTTAAAAGGAAATTACCAAAACAGATTGCTCCCTTCTAGAGCATCTGAGAAAAAAGGTGAAAAAACTTTTCCTTTGGCATCTCTGGATATTTGAATAGACAGCAAGGAAGAACTGTAGCTTTCTTCTTTCTTTCTTTCTTTCTTTTTTTTTTTCTTTTTTCAGCTAAATTATCCTAAGAACACTCTTCTCCAACATAGGAATTCCAGTGGAATAAGAGCTGGTAACACAAGATGCACCAGGAGACTCGAGGTTTTGTGTTTTTGAAACTTATATTCTACTATAATGACTAAATTGTAGAGAAGCAAAACTAATGTGTGTGTGTTTTCTTAAATTTATCCAATGTTTTTCTGGTTCTGTCTTCTAGGAGCAGACAAACTTCTTTTGTGTTTTGTTTGTTTGCTTGTTTATTTTTAAAAGCTCACTCTTAAATTTTATAAAACAATATAAGACAAGGAAAATTAAAGTTACACTACATTGGAACAATGTATTTCCTCAAAATAGAAATGCCGAAGGCATATAAAGATATAAAATGGTATGCAGTGTTTCCCCCCACATTATTTATTTAAATTGGTAAGACTTTTTTGTCTCTCAACATTTAATTTCACTATAAACAAAAGTGAAGTAAATACAATGATTGTTATCAACTGAGTACTAGATGAGGGCTCAGTATTTAAAAGAACATAGAGCTCTTCTTATAAACTTGCTTTTGATTTTAATTCAAGAATAATTATGCTGGGTTCTTATGTCTGACTGGACAAAAAAAAAACATGTGGTTGTGTGTTTTGGCATGTGTTCTTCCAGATTTTTCAGTGATAGTTATGATAACCAACAAAGGGAATTTAGATTGAAAGGCTTTTCTGTAGAAGATTCTAATCATCACCCTAAGAATAATTCCAACACCTATTAGTTACTTTTACTTGGAGACCAATGTATATATGCATGCCAGTGACTCTAAGAGGTAGACAACAAGCGACATGGAATTCCAAAGAATAAAGTCTTGGAATAGATACCTGCATAGTACCAGCCCCACTGCTGTTACTAGGAGAAAATTTGGGTAAGTAAAAATGAAATCAGTAAAAATACGGTGTTTTTATATTTGTTTCATGTTTATAGCTTTCCCCTGAGAGCAGAATTAAAATTGTAAACCATAGCTTTAATGTATATTATTACCCTAAAGGAAAATAATGTATGTACATGCGCACACACATCACGGCATGTGTGCACGCACACACACATAGAAAAGTCTAAATTTTTAGTATCTAACAGAGATGTGGGTGTTGTGCAATCAACAAAACACTGTTGTGCAATAATTAAGGAATTTTTAAACTGAAGATTAAATTGGAATGTTGTTATAAACATAAGGGAAATGGACAACATTTTTCCTTGTATCAAAAGAAAGCTCATTTCTAAAAATAAGCACCCTCTTTGTGATGACCCTTTAAAATAGTTTTAAGTAATTCCATTCACAGATGAGCTTTGAGTCCACAGCACTTTGCTGTAAGTGGCTTGCTCTTTGATCCTGCAGCCTTTAATCAGGTGTATATCCAGAAGAAAGCATTGACTTGGCAATATCACTAGCCAGACTCTGCATCTCTGAAAGCGAATTGAACATGGCATGACTAAAACATGCTGCTGGGTCCTGAAAGGTTTTCTTTGGTGTATGAATCTAAGGAATTATTGATTGGTTAAAGCTATTTTCCATTACTAAACTTTACCTTATCAAACTGAGGCAAACATGGACCTTCCTTAAGTTACCAAAGTAAAAAGCTTGATTTTTTGAAAAAGAAAGTGTTTTTGTTTTCTCCCATGTTTCACTTTACTTTCCCAGAAATGACAATGGAGTAAAAGGATTGAGAATGTTACCTTGTCTTTTAAGTGTTGTTATTGACCATCAGCGGTCAATTCCTTTGTAATGTGAAATTGATTTAGTGTAATCTAAATGACCTTTTTTTTTTTTTTTTTTTTTTTTGGACTTAGAGTGTCTTGGATAATGCTTTCACAACTGCAAAGGGTTATCCTCATTTTATTCCACTTCTCCACTCAAATCCATATTTCTTATCACTACTGATTCTGTCCTTTAGACACAAGACCATTATTTTCTTTTTTTAAAAAGTATATTTTATTGATTTCAGAGAGGAAGGGAAATGGATAGAGAGAGAAACATCAATGTTGAGAGAGAATCATTGATCCGTTGCCTCCTGCATACCCTCTACTAGGGATCAAGCCCGCAGCCTAGGCATGCACTCCTGATCGGAATCCAACTTGGGACCCTTCAGTCCGAAGCAGGCAGGCGTGCAGTTGGGAGCCAGTAGTCCTGGATTGTGAGAGGGATGTCTGGTTACCTAGTGGGATTGGGCCTAAATGGGCAGTTGGACATCAATCAAGGGTTTCCACTTGGAGAGGGTGCAGGCAAGGCTGAGGGACACTCCCCCTCGTGCAAGAATTTTGTGCATCGGGCTTCTAGTTTTAGTATATTTATCTTTTATTCTGATGCTTTGCTAAAAACCTATTAATTTTAGAACTTTGTAAAGTTTATTTTCACTACTTTTCTAAGTATGTAACTGTATTATCTACACATCAATAGCATTTAATACTTCCTAACCATTTCACTTCCTCTCATTGTTCTGGAATTCCTGATGGATGCACTGTTAACCAACAATGATGAGAGTGGGCATCTTTTCAGTTTCCTGATTTTACCATATATAGTTTTAATTTTGAACAGCTATTTCAATTTTTGCTTGTCTGTTGATTTCCAAAATCAGAAATCTGTATGACATGCCATTTGACATCTAATAACATCAGTAGCCCTTCATCTCCCTCAGCTACAATTCTTACTGGGTTTTACAGCCAAAAGTTATGGGTCTTCTCTTTCTGGTACTGGAACCGTGGGCTGACAAGAGTGGATCTGGGATCCCTCGCTCCTCAAGGGGGACTTCTGCAGTGAAGATATCCCTCCAAATTTAAAAACAAAACAAAACATTTTTATTGATTTCAGAGAGGAAAGGAGAGGGAGAGAGAGATATAGAAACATCAATGATGAGAGAGAATCATTGATTGGCTGCCTCCTGCATACCACTAGGGATCAAACGCGCAACCCAGACATGTGCCCTTGACCAGAATCAAGCTTGCAACCTTTCAGTCTGCAGCCGATGCTCTATTCAAAGTCAAACCGACTAGGGCTCCCTCCCATTATAATATTAAATATTACTATTTTTTAAAAATTAATCCTCACTGGAGGATATTTTTTTCCATTGATTTTTAGAATAAAAAAGAGGGGGAGAGACAGAGAGAGAAACACCAATCTGAGAGAGACACATTGATTGGTTGCCTCCTGCAGGTGCCAGGGATTGAGCCTGAAATCAAGGTACAGTGCCCTTGATTGGAATCGAACCCGGGATCCTTCAGTCTGCAGGTCCATGCTTATGGACAGGCTTATGGCTCCCTCCCAATTTTTTAAGCACTACACATAGGTATGGGGCCAGCTAGGTCCGAATCTCCACCTTTCCTACAGACTTTTTGTCCCCTTCCTGCCAGTCTAGATTTGTCTTCTTTTTGTTCTTAGTTGTAGGACTTCTTTCAGCTACTTTCCAAGTGGTTCTGAATGATGGTTGTTCTGCAGTTTAGCTATAATTTTGATGTAGTCATGGGAGTTTTCAAGCACTGCATTTACCTGCGCCACGATCTTGACTAGAACCTCCCATATTCACCTCTTTTGGTTCTTATGCTGCTAAGAGTCTAGCTTATATCCAGCTTTTTTCTTTCACTTATCCTATATAATAAAAGCCTAATATGCAAATTGTCTCTGAGAGTTCAACCAGGGAGTGGCACCAGCTGGCCAATCAGCAATGGCCCCACCCCAGCCAGTGGCAGCAGTGGCAGGTGGCTGGGGGAAGGGAGATACTATGAATTTGTGCACCAGTGTGGTCCCTCAGCCTGGCCTGTGGGGTTGGGCTGAAACCAGCTCTCTGGCATCCCCTGAGGAGTCCCAGATTGCAAGAGAGTGCAGGCCAGGCCAAGGAACCCCACCAATACACAATAGGGGCTGGGAAGGGATGTGGGAGGTTGGCCAGCTGGAAAGGGACTGCAGGCTCCAGGGTATGTCTGGTCTATCTTGCTCAGTCCCAATAGGCCGGACGCTAGCAGCAAGCTAACCTACCAGTTAGGAGTGTCTGCCCCATGGTTGTCAGTGCACGTCATAGCAAGTGGTTGAGCAGCCTTAGCATGTCATTAGCATATTACACTTTGATTGGTTGAACGGACGACTGGACACTTAACATATTAGGCTTTCATTATATAGGATAAGTAATGGTACTTCTAGAAACTCTATCTTGTTACTTGATAGTGCTTGCATACACCACTTTAGGATAGTGCCATTACTTTAAAAGCAGAAGGGATTGATTGCTTTTATCTCTCAACTGCTATGCATATAGTGTTGGTCAGTTAGTACTTGCACTAATGAATGTTTGATTTCATATTGATAGTTTTGATTTAAACTCATTTTAGGTGGGTGACATTATAATGTATTATCTAAATTCAAATATATGATTGCCCTAACTTCATATAGTGTTTTAGAGAAAGGGTTTTCCAAAGAGGCATACAGGTTCTTAGGGGATATTGATAAGAGTAGAAAAATAAATCTGATTTTAGAGGACTTTAAGTAAATTTGAACTTGTAGAAAAAAATTTATTAAAGTAAAAAGTGAAAGTTGGATAAATATTTATTAGGATCGTTTTTATTTTACCATCTTTATTTTATTAAGTCAGATTTTGACAACTGCAGCCATAGCATAAAATGCAGATTAATCCTTTTGAGTCCAGTTCTCTGGCAGAATTGCTTTAAAAATTATGGAAACAGCAATAATTGGTCCTAGACTTACTGAAATAACTTAGTCATAAATTTTGGAACCTCCAAAAGAAGATGGGCATTGGGCATTTTCCAACTCATTTCTCTTGGCATTTACCATACGGGGGTCAAAAAAGCATCTGAATTTTAATAGCTTTAGAGTCTTGAGTCATTTCTTGAGACCTATTTTGTTTTTCTCAAGTCAGCATGAGTATATTTTAAAGACATCTGGAAAACATTTAATATCATCTGAAATTCCCATAATTTTATTTTAAATTCAGAATCATATGAATCATAGTAACTTCTTTTGACTAAGAAAATTAATAAGATATTTAATATATTCTCTTAAAAATGTCAATAACCATTTGAAATATAAACAGCTTTACAAAGTTGTGTTTGGGGAAGATGAAAACCACCATTTAATTATTTGAAGTGATTACTGAGTTTCCCAGGTAAATTTTGTTTAATGATTAAGTGACTTTTTAAGTTAACAGTAAAATGATGCCATAGGTTATGACACAGGTTAGAGCAGTGGTTCTCAACCTTTGTAATGCCTCAACCCTTTAATACAGTTTCTCATGTTGTGGTGACCCCCAACCATAAAATTATTTTCATTGCTACTTCATAATTATAATTTTGCTACTGTTATGAATCATAATATAAATATGTAAATATTTGTATTTTCTGATGGTCTTAGGCAACCCTGCTAGCGGTTCTCAACCATAGCAGTAGCAAAATTACAATTATAAAGTAGCAACAAAAATAATTTTATGGGAGTCATCACATAAGGAACTGTATTAAAGGGTTGCAACATTAGAAAGGTTGAGAATTACTGGGTTAGAGTGAGGCAATTCATGAGCTCTATTTAAACATAAATCTATTTTGGATTTGCTACCTCTTACTGATTATCTTCTATGATATAGATTGGGATTTCTTCTAAACATCTACAGCTATTAATATCAGAATTGGGGATTCTTGTTTAAAAATGCATCCAGTTGGAATACATCATTCTAACTGATCAATCTTTAACAAGACTAACCAAAACAAAGAAAAGAGAAAACCCAATTTACCAGTATTAGGAATGAAATGGGAGGTACCTCTACAGACCCTAAGGAAATTAAGAGAATTAAATGTACCATGAACATCTCTACACTTACAAATTCTACAACAGGTTAAGTTGAAAAATTTTTGAAAGACACAAATTCCCAAAACTCATTCCAGAAATAGATCACCTTAACTGTCCTATACCGTATTTTCCGGCGTATAAGACGACCCCCTAATATATACACACACACACACACACACACACACACACACACACACACACACACACACACATATATATATATATATATATATATATATATATATATATATATATATATATATATATTTACAGTTAAAACATAGGTTTAGGCATATATTCGCTGTATAAGACTACCCCCCACTTCCGAGGCAACACCAGTTCTTTTTTAATAGACTGCCTCTCTGACTCTGGCCAATCTGAGGAGGCTTTTTACTAGAACACAGTGTACATGTTCTGTACCTGAAGCTACACTGTGTTCTAGTAAAAAGCCTGCTCAGATTGGCCAGAGTCAGAGAGACGGTCTATTAAAAAAAGAACTGGTGTTGCCTCGGAAGTGGGGGTAGTCTTATACAGCGAATATAGGCCTACACCTATGTTTTTACTGTAAAATTAGGGGGTCGTCTTATATGCCGGAAAATATGATATCTATTAAAGATATTGAACTTATAAATGCTTTCCAATAAAGAAAACTTGTACTATTGGAAAATTATACAAAGCATTAAGAAAGAAGTAATAAGAATTCCACACAAATTGTTTCAGAAGAAAAAAGAGGAAGAAACACTTCTCAACATTTTTTAACCAAAACTAGACAAAGATAAGAAAAGAAGCCAACAGGCCAATATTTCTCATGAACATGATAACAAAAATCCTCAATTATCAAATGCAGCAACATGTAAAAGAATAATACATCATGACCAAATGGGGCTTATCCAAGGAATGTAGGGTCAGTTGGACATGCAATAATTCTATATAATAAAAGGCTAATATGCAAATAGACTGAACGGCAGAACAACTGAACAACCAGTTGTTATAACATGCGCTGACCACCAAGGGGCATGCGTGGAATGTGGCAGGTGTCAGCAGCAGGGTGTGGAACATGGCGAGCATTGGCTGCAGTGGAATGGTGGGGCAGGTGAGTAGGGGCTCCAGGCCGGGCACCAGTTGCTGTCATCAGGGCAAGCCACTGGTAGTTACTGAAAATTCTTTGTTCCTACGCTCCACAGTCCAACCTGGTGCTTGTACCTGCTGATGGCACCAGCCCTGCTCACACCCATTGCCGGGACTCAGCGCTGACCCTGATCACTCAGTACCATCATTGGGTGCGAGTGACAGCTACTGGCCCTGATTGCCCCTCAGGGCTTCTCTACTTCTTCCTGTTCCTGAGGGGCGATAAGGGCCAGCAGCCTCCTCTCACACCCTCTGCCACTGCTGCCCATGGGCTACGGGCAGCTCTTGCGTTGAGCATCTGCCCCCTAGTGGTTAGTGTGCATCACAGAGGCCAGTCATTCTGTTGGTTGTTCCGCCATTCCGTCAATTTGCATATTAAGGTTTTATGTAGATATTTTAAACTGTAACATTTATTTTTGTAGTTTATAATATAATTGTTTTTCTCTCCCAATGGTTCTAAGAGCATTGTGTGGTCTTTATCTTTCACTAATCTGAGCAGTGGATGTAGGATAAACAACAAGGAGAAGAGCCAGTTGGTAACTTCCACCCTCAGGAACAAGGATCCAGTGACTCATCAGAGGGACAGGTGGTAGAAGAGAACGTCTTGACACTTACCAGAATCTTAATGAGCAGAGGTGATGGTCGTGCTATTTTTTGCCTCCTGTTCTATAGACAGTCATTTATGGTGACCTACATAGAGAGCAAAATAGTAGGGATAAAAATGTCCATAGAGCTTCCAATACTGTTACTCCAACTAGTGATGACAACTCTTCCCTGGATATCATTGCAACTTGGAAACTTGAATTTTGTAGTTTGAAGAAAAATATCCTATAACTAGAAGCAGAATGTGTGTGTGTGTGTGTGTGTGTGTGTGATTTAACAACGAAAAGCATCAATATCAAAGGGTTGGTGCAATCTACAGAGAGGTGGCAGAGTATAGATGTTGAGGTCAAACATATTAGGTTCAAATTCCAGCCTGTCACTTACTAGCTATTTAGGCAAGTTACTTAACCCTCAGTTCCTTGCTTTTATTTTATTTCATTTATTTGTTAAAATAGGCATGGGTTATTTTTGTTTCTTTGTTTGTTTGTATTTAAATTTATAAACCAACCAGCCAAACTGGTAATATTATCACATACAGCAAAATACAAAACATCTTTTATGAATACTTGATAAACAAACAAATTAGCAAAAGGGGCCAAGGAGATCAGCATATTATAGCTTAATCATCACCTGAATGCAGTTTTTAACAAGCTTCCCAATCCCATAAAATACTAACAATCCTTTCACACATTTTTGTACTTTTACTTTCTATTCTTGAGGTTAAGATTCTAGATCTTAGAGTTATCCAAAAACAGTATTATATCTAATTAAGTATAACAAGAGACATCTTTTATCATTTGTCTATAGCAGCAAGGCTACAGAAACCTCTGAGTAGACTCCAGTCATACCCACCCCACTGCTCCAAATTGGAACCTGGGCATGAGAAGCAGCATATCAAGGCAGAGATACATAGAAAACCCTAGAAGAGGTAATGCAACCACCGCCAAAATTGAGATTGAATAATATACCCATCATCTCACTGTATGTTCATGGAGTAACCTGGGAATAAATCCATGGCTTGCTGGGTACTGCCATACTCAGAGGGGTTTAAAGTCCTGCAGCATAGCTTCCCCCAGCAGTTGCTAAGGTGGCCTCCCAGTCACTGACAGGATTTCTCTTCATAACTGTAGAACTGATTGTTCAGGGCCTGATTGTTCCAAGGCCCAACTACTCTAGGAATGGTAGTTACAAGATGGGCTGTTCCAGGAATGGTTCCAAGTTAGGTTACTGCAGGTCTTATTGCTCCACCTTGAAGGGTTTCCAGAAGCCTGACTGGTGACGGGAAGAGAGGCCCAGCTACTCTGTCATTGCTGAGCTCAGCTGAGTCACACAGTTGCTATTCTTTGGCCAGTTGTATTTCTGCCACCTCTTACATTTCATTTTCTGGTTCTGGAACCAGGTCTTAATCTGTAGTTAAGGTTCAGGATATTGGAAAGTGCTTGCATCTGCTGAAAGTTGAGATATTTCTCTCTCTGAAATTTCTGAGTACACAGAGCTGCGTCTGTGAGAAGACAATTCTGATCTGCTTCTTGACACTAACTTAATTTTTCTTCTTCACTCTCCTATTTGCCACAGAAGTGGGTAGTATTACACTGAGACTGGTGGAATAAGGCTTGACTAAGCAAATCTATGGAGGAAGGAAAAGGAGAGACAGTCTTCAAGTGAAGTGTCCCAGGTGTCATTAGCAAGGATGCGTGGTTTTCTTCAGGCTCATGTGAAGGTTCCCTACAAATTGGATTCTTTGGGGCAGAGCAGGCTTGGGGGATGAGTTGAATCCACACTCATGCAGAGAGAGAGAGAGAGAGAGAGAGAGAGAGAGAGAGGGATCGCTAGATTGTAAGAAAGACCCAGGCTTAAGTATCTAGATAGAAGAGTTTAGATAAATATAAAGATCTACAGATATCAAAGTATCAAAAAGATGGGATGAAGTGATACTTGCAAAAGGTGAAATTTTTGGAGGGCTTTAAGTTGGAAATCCAGTACCTATCATAATGAATTATTGGGAGAATGAATGAGATCAGGTAGGTAGCTGAATTTAATATTAGGTCTAGTAATAATTAATGTCGTTTTCTAATACCTTTTTTAAATCGAATTTATTTAAACAATACAACAAAATTTAATCAACAATATAGTTGCCGTTGTTTTCTACTACTTGTGCCCAACTCTCAGGAAGCATTTTAATCCCTCTGTTGTAAAATTCTTGTGATTTTGATGCAAAAAATTCGGTCAATGCATTTTTGAGGCATTCTTCATTATTAAATTTTTTTCCAAGAAGAAAGTTTTGCAAAGAACGAAACAAATGGCAATCGGAAGGGGCAATATCAGGAGAATATGCAGGTTGAGGGAGAACTTCCCATTCCAACTGGCGCAGTTTTTCAGCAGTGATTCTTGCAGTATGTGGTCGTGCGTTATCGTGGTGAAGAATTACGCCCTTCCGATTAATCAGCGCGGGTTCTTTTTCTCTTAAAGCTTGGGCTAACCTTTCCAATTGGGCACTATACACTGCACTTGTAATGGTTTGGTTAGATGGTAAAAGTTCATAATGAAGAATTCCTTTAAAATTCCACCAAACACACAACATCACTTTTTTCGCATGCAAGTCAGGTTTTGGCGTGGGCTGCGGAGCCTCATTTTTGTCCAACCATTGAGGCCGCCTTTTCAAATTAACATACAGCACCCATTTTTCATCTCTAGTAACAATTAGCTCTAAAAATGGCAAACGGTTTTGCTGAGAGAGGAGCGAACTGCAAATTGTGACTCTTTGATTACGGTTGTTGTCGGTCAACTCATGAGGAATCCATTTTCCAAACTTTTGGACTTTGCCAAGTGCACGCAATTGATTGGAAATTGTTTTTTGTGAACAATTTAAAGTTGTCGCAAGCTCTTGTTGGGTAATTTGAGGATTTTGCACCAAAAGAGCTTGAAGAGCTTCTTGATCAAAATTGGACACACGGCCTCGACCACTCTTGTCATCTAACGAAAAATTTCCCTCGCAAAATTTCTCAAACCAACGCTGGCATTTTCTGGTGCTAACTGCATCTTGACCAAGAGCACTACAGATGTTTTTTGCAGCCTCACTTGCTTTTCTTCCTAATTGGAACTCGTAAAGCATGCAGTGCCGAATATGCTCTTCACCCGCCATCTTCTTAGCCCTAGTTTTGCAACAAAAACCAAACCAAACACAAACTTTTTCAAGCAAAACTTGTTAATTGCACTTCACATGTTCTGTAGATACCACGTGTTTGAAGGTTATGTCAATACAAGTCAACGCCAAGCAAGATTTTAAACGAATGTTTAAAAACGACATTAATTATTACTAGACCCGATATTTACTCTTAAAGGTACTCAACAAGTAATAGCTGTTACTATTTTTTTTTTATGTTATTGATTTCAGAGAGGAAGGAAGAGGAAAAGAGAGATAGAAACATCAATCTTGAGAGAAAACCATTGATTGGCTGCCTCCTACACACCTCCCACTGGGGATCGAGCCCACAACCTGGGCATGTCACCTTGACTGGAATTGAATCCGGCATCCCTTAGTCTGCAGGCAGATGCTCTATTCACTGAGCCAAACCGGCTAGGGCAATAGCTGTTTCTGTTAATGCTATTGCTATGACTATACCTTTGTAAATCAGCATGGAATAACTAAATTGAATATATTAAAGTTTCTATTCCTTTTGTTCTAACACTCACTATTTAATGACTTTGGGCACATTACATCACTTTTCTGGTCTTAGTTGTCTCATCTAACAGGAGGATAAGCATAGTGGTACCTATATCATAGTATTGTTGTGAGGATTAATTAACTTAATACTAATAAAGCTCTTAGAATACTGACTTGCACATAGTAAGTACTCAATAAATGTTAGCTAGAACTATTACCATTATTGTTATTATTCTCAACCAAGAATTAGCATGTTATTGGCCCAACTATGTTGGTAAAATAAAAGACTTGTGAGTTATACTGAATATTAAATTGAGTAGTATTGTCTAAGTTCCTAGTACTAAGTACTTAGAGTATTTGATTAATTAATGAAGGATTGCATTAGTAATTCAGAGAAGGAACAGTTAACTGGTAAGGAAAAATCAGGAAGAACCACGTTCATATTTTGAGAGATTTGCACACACAAGGAGAAAAAAGGAGAGTATCTGAGACTGGATATGGAGGCAGAAGTGGAACAAAGTGCATCTGGACAGTGAAATAATACAATAGGGTATTGGACAGCAAGAAAATCCACTAATACTGCCTACATATCAATGGGGATGGGACTCACAGACAACATGGAGAGAAATAAGCAAGTCACAAAATAAAAGTCATCGTTCCATTAATGTAAAATTCCAAGAAAGCAAAACTAAATTACATTGTTAAGTGACAGCATATGTGAATGATAAAACTATTACTAATGATTGTCATAAAAGTTAAAATAGTGTTACATCTGGGGAGGGAAGTGAAGCTCTCCTGGGATCTGAATGTTCTATCATTTCATAATGGGTGTGTGTGAGAAGTGAGTGCTTGCTTTACAATTGCTTTTTTTTTTTTATTGTTTAAAAAAAAAAGCAATTGTTTATGTGAAAGTGTTTTTTATACATTCTTTTTTTTATGAGTGACATATTTCACAATAAAAAGTAAATCAACTTAAAGGTAAGAGTGAATGGGGTCTAGGAAGCCAGCAAGCCCAACCTGAGGAATATTTGTGGAATAGCAGAAATTAAAGCAAACAAGGTGACATTAAATAAATCCTTTTTTTTTTTTTTAGTGCTAAACACCATTTTATTGGTTTCTTCCCCCACCCTCACCAACCCACCCACCTGGGAGCTTAAAAATCTCACCTTCCTCAATATATATAGAAACAAATAATGGAAGTCATCAAGCCGAGTCAAGGGGTTGTGATGGAGGGTATTGAAACCTACCGGTACATGAGGAATGTTACCTCTGACACCTAGCTAGTGGGGCTGGGGTATCAGGCACAAGCCAAAAGTAAGGCGTTGATAGACAGTATCGATATTCAGGGCTTCCTCATTACAATCGAGGCCCTTATTCCAGTTGACAAATGACACCCCACCAAAAGAGACGATAGAATTCATT